GTAGTTTACTTCCCCCAAAACACAATGTCTTTCGTTCAGCCTCTAGATCAGGGGGTCATAAGGATCTATGGTACTATGTGGTACCACACATGGTACTATGTGGAAAGGATTGTCAACACTACGGAAGAGAAACCCCGATAAGAGAGAATCGTTCTCTTTCTCTCTGTGTGTGAATCAACGGTTTATGCTTTGTAACGTTTTTAGTGGCATAAGATTTATGCACAAATTCTGAACTGCACGGGAGTCTGGCATCCCTAACCTTACAGTTGTTGAAGGGAGAATTATATACTGTATATTATCCTAAGGCTACCCTTGAAAGGATGTTAAGCAAACCTGACCAAAACCATTTTTTTCTTCACTGCATTTATTGTGGCATGTGAGGTATTCGGGGAAGGCCACAGCTGCTCAGAGGAGAAGGAAAGGCACTCTGCACATGCTCATTGCATTCTATTTACTGCTACAGATACGGCTGTGCATACATCGTTCTTTGAAACCAGGGAACAGTCAAAGAGGGGGGTGTCGGAGGCCGTGATGCAGTGGAGCATCCAGGCGCATAGGATCTAAATTTGGGGAGTTCTCCTGTAACAGTGACACACCACACAACACCCCTTCAGGCTTCTCTGTAGCCTCTGAGCTTAGCTGCAATCAAAATCATCCAAATAGCAGATTTCCCCAGAAACGTGTGTATCGTGTTTTTCTGTGTATAAGACGCCCCCATGTATAAGACACCCCCACTTTTCTAATCCAAAATTAAGAAAAATAAGTGGGGCTTAGCAAGTGTAGGGGGAAAGGGATCAAAGCGCTGCAGGATTGCTTTGATCCCTGCTTGTTTTTCTTCTCTCCTCAGCTTACTTCCGTGTATAAGATGACCCTCAATTTTTAGTCTAAAGATTTTAGACAAAAGTATAGTCTTATACATGGAAAAATATGGTATTCCTGCAAACCATCCACACGTTTTGCCTTCCTCAATGTGACACTCCCAAAATGTACTAGAATATTCATGCAAAGGGTGATAGGAGTTGCAATTCAACACATCCGGTCAGCACCCAGTGGGGCGTGGCGGTGGACAGCTATGCTGTTCATTCCGTTTACAGTACTTCCTCCCAGGAATTCTTAGAAGTTGGGAAAGTAACTTCTGTTTATCTTGGCTGTTGTAGCCGAAGGGTTTGAGTCATTTTTTAAAAAGGCCCTTTTCCGAGGCTCTGGGCTGCTAAAGTCCTAGAACGAGTGTTTACTGTAACTGCCAGCTGTGCAAAACCCCTCCGCACAGGGAGAAAGAGCTGTTTTCAGATTAAGAGAGGGCTTGATCCCCACCCCACCCCACTTGAAACCCTGACCAGAGTCTCTTGCGGCCACTGTCATTTGTGCATGACGGGTCCCTGGCAGATTCAAAGCTAATTCCAGCCCCCGAAAGCATCTCCTTACACACAGACCTATTATTTTCCACCGCGTTTCCGTTACTCCAGTCCATTAGGTCATCGAGTTTCACCCTGGGTAATTTTCCAGTCCTCATCTCCACGGATGCCTCTTAACTCAGTGCCATTTGTGAATTTTAAGGATCCCACTCTCCTTCCAGCCCACGCCACCGAGACCAGAGAGAAAGGGGATGGGTGGGAGGGAAGCAAAGCAATAATTGTCCAAAGGTGGATCTGGGAGCCGGGACCAGCCTTGCGATTAAAGGTTTGCTCCAATGATAATCCTGGCCCAAGGCACAGAAGAACGAGGACAGCAAAGGGGGGGTGGTTTGCTTTCCCTTCTCCTCTACCTGGGTTTCTCAGACTTCTTCAAAGCAGAAAGACTCTGTTAATGGATTATGACCGAACATCATCTCTATCCATGTAGCATTACAGAATAAAATAAGCAAAGGATGCAGGTCTCTGCCGCAAAGAGTTTACAATTTAAATATTTCCATTGACCGCTGAAATCTCCCCAACGGGAAGGAAAAAGAGCAGCAAATTTAAGAAATCAGCAAAAGCAGGGACAGAGGGAGTTGGAGAGAGAGATAGAGCGTGCAAGAGAGAGCAATGCACGCTCACCCGACTGAGCCTAACTAGGCTCAAAGCTTAAAAAAAGTTACATTTTGGACGAGCTCTCCCAGAACTCTTTGAGAGTATGGTGGCTGTCAATGGAGAGAAAAAAAGCAACTTTTACAGGTGGCTCTGAGAGCAAAGGGCTGGCAGCCAAATGCATTTGAAGGAAGAGAGGGAGGTTGACTACGTCTGATGCACACACTGCATCAGCAGCGCCTCCCTCACGGCCAGAAAGCCTGATTCGCACACAGCGCTTAGAGGTGCGGTCCTCTCAAATGGGACATCAAGAAGACCTTCAGGCAAGTTCCTTGAAGACATCCTGAGACCAAATTGAGGTATTCAAATACAAGCAGACTCTCGGCCCAACCTGGTTGGGCTCTATCCAGTGTGAGTCCATTCATCATCATCATCATCAACAGCAACAACAACAACAACAAGGAAATCAGGGACAAAGACTTCCTTATTAGATGCTAAGCCAGAGTAACATTCGTTTGTCTGTTTGCTTCTTAAATTTGTAAACCACCCCATTAGTGCAAACTGGGGAGTTTACAGTCAATGAAAAACAACACGCGTAAGCAAAAATAAAACACAAAATAACAGTCAACCAACATGTCAAGAGGCAGAGATATCGCAACAATAGGTAGGGTTAAACCCTCTCTTGTTATCCTTGCCGTGAGCCAAGTTTCAGGACAGGCTGAGCTGGTATCATTTTGGGCACCCGTGCCAAGGCGTATAAACAAAGCGAGTAGAGGAAAACACGCGGAACAAGGTTGCCAAAGAAGCGGTGAAGGAGAACAGCATCTCAGAAGCTCTTAAGGAGCCGGATTTCTCCAGAGGAGAGCCCAGCAAACAGACCAAACACCCTCGTGGATCACTGCAGGGCAAGGATGGCCGGTGCCAAGTCTTTTGCCCAATATAGCAAAAATCTGCTTGCTAAGACATTATTCCCCCCCCCCCCCCCAAGCTGGTTCTGACTCCTGGCTGAGAGGGTGACATTCTGGTTAGATCACTTTCCACTGGGCGGAAACTCGAGGCATTGCCTCAGCCCATCATCCTTCTCCTCCTTCACTTCCCTCCTCCTGAGTGTGAGGGTAGAGCAGGAGCTGATTGTGTCTCGCAAAGAACCTGCACCAGTATACAAGGCCGACCAGCCAGATGGCTTAGGTTGACTTTCTGAGTAGCTGTGGTTTTGACAACATGTCCCACCCATCTAATTCCTTTTCCCCCTAGGTTGGCCTAGAACAAGCAATTAAGAGCCATTACTGTAACAAAAGACCTGCTCTCTCGCTCTCTCTCTCTTTTTAATTGGCCAGACCCAATGACAAACGTCTCTGGACTTTCCATTACAGATATACGTGGCTATGGAGTCTGCTTTGATGGGCACCCGGACTTCTAAATGTATTGCTTTGGCTAGAGCTTAAGGAAGGTTTTTGAACGGCCAGAATCTCACAGGGACCCACGCTGGTTGGGGGAATTGTGGAGCCTTGATATTTTTTTTAAAAAAGCAACTTTCACAAGTTTTTGATTTGCTTAGATCCTGTTAGGGACCATTGCAGGCATGAGCCTCAATGGGTAAAAGCACAGGATGATGCCGGTAGACTTAGCCTAGGTGTCCAAAAAATGATACCAGCTCAGCCTCCCCTGACACTTGGTTCAAGGCAACGATGACAGAACGTGCTGAACTCTATGAATCCCTGGGGGGAAATATGAATTATTAGCTCAAGGACGATAGCTCTTTTGGATATCATTAGCATACCTAGAACAACCTTTTAATGAAAACAGCGTACACAACCCTGCACTTATTCGGGGAAGACGGTGAAGAGTGATGCCAGCTGTCAAAGCATTTCAAATCTGAAAAGCCTTAATTGGGCTCTTCAAAAATCTACATCGGGGCTGGAATCGGAGAAGTGAAGATGCATTTAAGAGGGAACCACTCGACACTGATCCCTCAATTAGCATCTATTTCAGGCAACTTTGAAAAAGACTTTATCACCACCATAGAGAGGACTAGAAACTTGGCAGCAAAATATCACTGCCTGAAAAAACAGAACGGGCCTGAATCCTACTGCTTAGTTACTCCGACTTATGATCCAAAGCATAAACCGCACTGTCAAAATGCTAGCTAGAAAATCGTTGCTTGTATGCCTCAGTGTGCACTGGCAATGCGTGCTGGCGAGCAAGAACGGATAGAACGAGCATCTTGTTAACTGCTGGCAATTTATGATTGCCATTCACAACAGCGCATTTACACCGGTGTGACTAAACAGCGGGACTCTCGCCATGTTTAAACAATCAAAACTAAGTGGATTCATTACAAAACCAATGCGACTTATAAATATTTAGAGCAAAAGAGGAAACGAAAGGACAGGACTTCATATTATTCATTCCAAGCAGGTAAGATAGGCTCACAAACGGCTTCTTCCCACTTGGGACTGTCTGTGCTTATTTCTGCAGAGCTGTCAGCCTTCCCATCAGCTCCGAGAGGGCAAAGCTGGAAGGGGCCCTCTGGATCATCCCTGAGTCCAGCCCCTCTCGGGGAGGCCCAGTGGGGGAATCGAACTCCCAACCTCTGGCTCCGCAGCCCACAGGCCTTAAACCTCTGAGCTGTCCAGCAGATTTTTCCCAGTAAAGTGACCCTTTCCTGTACAATCCAACGCAGGCCCGTGGCACTTTCTGACTGCATCCTGTGATCCATTTCTTGACTTTTCCATCTACATTTGGCTGGGAATCTTATCCCGAAGTGGAACAGTGGAAAACAAGAAACATGGCACGTCGGAATACACAGGACACAGGTATGAGCAGAGCAGGAAGTTCTGAGCTACAAACACAGCTTTTGTTTTACTCTCGCTTCCACCATTCCCATTCCTAGCCCTGAAGTTCTCGTTTCCTCTTTTCTTTTTCAAACACACAACAGCCACCTTCCAGGCAATCCATCTCCATGGTTTGGGCGAAAGAGAGAACTCCACTCACCGCTATAGGGTACTGTTTTCCTGGGCACCAGATTCCACCAGCTGCTGACCGAGGAGGCGTCCACACTCAGAACCACGGAGGCGAGAAGACACACGCCGAGGGCTGGCCCAGCGGCCATGCTGACCAAGGTCCGAAGCTCCTGCTGGAAAGCCGAGAAGGGGCCGGGACGAACGCTGGCTGCCTTCGGAGAAGGAGGAGGATGCTTCCGCGGCCGTGGTCTCTCCCGCCCTCGGCCGTCGGGGGGTGGGGGGGCTGGCAACAATGAGAGGAAACTGGTTAGGTTCGCTCGACTAAGGTTACGCCTGCATCAATTATGAATGAGGAAAGTCAGAATGATGTGTGTCGGGGGTGGGGGGAGCATGGGGAAGGAAGGAAAGGGGCCCAAAACAGAACAAAAGCACCATTGAGGGAGTTTCCATTTCAGGTATCAGGATCCAACCATGAAGCTCAAGGACACGGAGGGTGATTCAGTCTGTGAGCAACAGGGGCTGGAAATGAGAGCGCGCCACCCCCACATCCCGAATGTGCACACACCCACCCCCTCGCTCCATTTCAAAATCTCACTTCCCGTGGATCTATATCCAGAGACAATTTTTCTATATCAAGAGACAAGTTTCCAAGCCGGAAAGCCACTTCAATATACTTGGCCACGTTTATAAAAAGGAACGGGCGGCTAAGGCGCTCAGGGCCGATCATGCGTCCCCTTCCAGATCTCAACGTGATTCAAGGTTTGCCAAGATTCAGTGGCAGAAGCCGGTTTCCAGGCAGGGGACTTTGGATGCTGGGAAAAGCAGGTGATGGTGTGTACACGTCACACCATGCTAAGGAAAGACAAGGGGGTTCCCCCCACGAAAGCCACATCACCTTGCCAGGGAAAATTCCAAGTACTCAGTTACGCTCAGTTACGCAATGAAGTTGTAAAATGCGCAAGGCAGGCCTCTGTGGTTCTCAGGATGAAATCAAGCAATCCCATCTCTCAAAGAGTTGGAAACAGGTTTTTTTGGGGGGTGGGGTGGGGGGTTGCTACCATGGATATAAAATGCCTGTGCTTTTCCCCCCCTTTAAAATATATATATCTACAATAGCCTCTGCTTGAACAGATTTTTGGAAATAATATAAAAAAACCATACACATTCTGACTGAACAGAGGTAAACACAAGGCCAATCAAAACAACACAAGGATGTTCACATTTCTGAGCTTTGAAGAATGACCCTTCTGGACTCCACCACTCACCCTGACCTGGGGATTCTGGGAGTTGTAGTCCAAAACAAAAGAAAAACGAACTTTTCCAAGCAATGTTATGCTTTCAACTCTTCAGAGCAGCTTCCTCTCTACCACCCAAGAGAAGAGGACCCGCTGGATAGACGGACCAAGTTGTGGCAGGAAAGAAATGGGATCGCACAAAGTGGACCGTCCTTTGCCACAAATCCTGACGGCCATTCCTTAGACTTCGAGAGGAACCACGACAGGACGGTTTTGAGGAACAGTCTGGAAAGTTAAGTGCCAACGCACAAAGCTAAGTGCGGTAAAATTGTTTTTATCGTTATTGTCTATGACTGTGTTGCCGGACTGTTAGCTGTCCAGAGTAGGAACCTCGCTCCTTGTTGGGCGGGATAGAAATGTAAATAAAATAAAATAAAATCTGTTCCATTATCCCAGAGAAAGCCTGCTAAAAATACCAGAAACACATGGCTCAAACTACCTGCTATTGTGAGGAGTTGGAAGAGACAATGATCAACCATTGCAAAAGTGAATGTTATTGTTTCACAACAACATTGAAGTCATTGTGTTTTTTTCTTATTTTGCATGAATGTTAAACCTATTGATAACGAACAGTGCTTTATTTTCAAATACAGTGGTGCCCCGCATAACGAGTGATTCATTTAACCACAAATCTGCATAGCGATTGAGTTTTTAAAAACATAACAATGTTTTAAATGGGAAAACATCGCTTTGCGATGATCGGTAAGCTGTTTCGCTTACCGAGGATCGCATAATGATGTTTTTCCAACAGCTGATCGGCGGTTCCAAAATGGCCACCGGGTAAAGAAAATGGCTGCCCGCTGTGTTTTTGCGCCCTATCCTCGCTTACCAGGCAGGGAAAATGGCGGCCGCATGGAGGATTTCTGCATAACGGTGAGTTTTGTGCGTTCCTATGGGCTTTTTTGCCCCGCATAACGACAAATCCACATAGCGCTGATTTTTTCGGAATGGATTATCATCGCTATGCTGGGCACCACTTGTACTACCTACTGCATGAAAGGGAAGAGCTCTTTTTAAAACATACTTGACCATTATTTAACCAAAGGCATTAATATCCTTGCTCTGCCCAAACTTGCAGGGCGATGTCTTTTTATCCTACGGGCTGATCACTCCCACCTGGAGGATCATCAAGAAGAAAGCAGAGAAACACAAAAGCAGGTTTTTGTGCTTTGCAATCGGTTTTCCCAGACACTAGCGTGTGTGTTCTTGCACCTAAGAAAGCAAAGGACACCGCAAACGTTCCTGGTGAAACAGAGGTGCCCCTACGCTTTTGTTTCCGTTGTTGAAGCCAGATGAAGACCACCTTTGCCTCTTGGAAAAGGATCCTGCAGTTTTTCGCCATGTCTGTATGGCCCCATCAACAATAACCAAAGAAAAAACTGATTTGAGTCTTAAATCTGGTTTGGAACTCAGTTCAGGATCTAAAATTAGTTAAGTGTCACTGCAGCTGAGGTTTCTAGAGGGAAACATGCATGGGGGGGAATGTCCAAGGTTCACATGCATACCAAGCATGGGGGTAAAATCCTGTTCATATTTGGACATTGTGACAAAAGTGACACAACAACCAGAAACATGATATTTGAGCACTTTCCAATCCTACAGGATCTGCAAAGTTTGCAGTTCTTTAAACTCTGCACCATAACATTTATATTATTCCATGCACCTTTCTTTTTCTTTTGTTCTGTTCTCTGTTTCTTGTTAAAATGCTTGCGCAGATTCACATCGGCCACAACTCTGGAAACGATGTGTTTTATTTCTTCAGGTGCTATCCTTGGGAATGTCTGTAGAATATCCTTCCTGCTCTGTTCTGATTCACAAGCTCCACATGCGAATTCAGGAATGAGGCTAATTCACAGCCTCAAGTCCATCCATTCACACAAGCTGGGAAGGATGCGTTAAGTTGTTTCTGGCAGACTGCTAAAACTTTGGAGATGCAAGATTTGCTGACATGTAGAGCAGCTCTAACTGGGCGGAATTTGACTGTTACCTCCGCTGAGCCTAAAGTGGCATCTTATGGGGTTCTTTCCTATTCCACTTGAACTGCCAAACACCAACTCTTGTGAGGTAGTTCAAGCGGAGTGTGTGTGTGACTGATGTCCCCCTACAAGCCACATGGGGATTTGCGCCCTACTGGTCTATAACCACGACACGAGGCTGGCTCTTCCTCATTTCTCACATCAGCCAACAATGCCAGCTTGCAAAACGACGCAATGAGCCGTACAGATGGGGCTCTCGCTAAGCGCTGCCCTTCGGAATCAAAAGCGGAGCAACCGACCCTCTCTTAAAGCAAAGAGGAAAATGAGATACTGTCTCTCTTTGACTCTATTATGAGCGGACCCTCAAAACTCTTGATAGAAAAAGGAATTGAGTGACCCGGCGGAGAATCAACCCGCCAGGTAATTGTACACTATTTCATCCCATGTCCTTATAAATCCAGGAACATTGCCCCGGTCAAGACAGCTAATTTCTGTTCTCGGAAAGACAATCCCAGGCCTTCTGGCAGCC